GGGTTGCATGATAAGAAATATTACAATATTCACATGGCTAGCTTATCCAAATCACTATAGGGCTGGTTTGGCCAGTCTGAGTTTTCTAATTTTGCAAGGTTTAACAAAAGGTCCTTAAAATCCTAGTGGAATTTTTTTTTTTTAATGTTGTTTGCAGCTTCAGCCTACCTTAAGGCTTTGAGAGTCTAGTGTTACTTAGCTAGAACACCTGTGGCTCTCTGGCTCTGTCTGTTGAGATTTAACAAAATGGATTAGATGGTTTCTTTCCTTGAAGCATCTCTGCTCTGACAAACACTTATATAACAACTTCAGATCTATTTCTTTATTGCAGGAATTGCTTCATTACACTTAAAAGTTGCCAGATACGGGCTCCGCCTCCTGTAATCGACCTCAACCAATGACAGTAGCTCTTGTTTGAGCCCAATCATATCAGTTTGTCCTAATTTTCAGAATTACACCATGGTTTAAATTCCTAAGGAGTTGAAAATGATAGAAGTTATACAGGGGTGGTGTGTTTTCAAAAAGCCAAAAAGCTAACTAGTTTCTATAATCGGCATTTGTTTAGATAAATGGCTGTTTTCCTTTATGATGATAACTGACTTGAGAAGAAACTCTATATCTCCCTCTCTCAGGCTCATATCATTTCTGTCTGAGAGGCTTATTGAACCATCAACACCCTTTCGACTAAATTGCCTCCACCAAACATCTTTTATCATTCTTCCCCTCATTCGCTCCCTCTCTGCACCCTCGGAGCACCAGCACACACACACACACACACACACACACACACACACACACCTCCTCCCCCTCTCTCCTCATCCATCTATCGAAACAGGTGATGGCAATGCTTTATGGATGCTGCAGGAGGAGCTGAAACTCTCACTCATTTTCTCAATGAGTGCTTGGTGAACACACTGACAAAAAAAAATTCACAAACATACACACACTCATGGGCACCGTGCTCATCCTGCGACACGAGATACAACCACACACACACACACACACTAACAGACGTTGGTTGGTACGTGTAAACACTGATGTAATCTGTGATTTGTAGCAAGCACATGGGCTGACACACACTCTGATAACTCCTTGACACGACCATCAGTTACTCCCTCTCTCTCACACACACACACACCAAGTTAAATTGACAGCTGGAGGTGTCAGTGTGCCTGTATGAAGTATTCCAGACATCTGCAGCGGTTTAGAAACTGAACAGCAGATTAGAGAAGGGGGGCTGGCAGGATGAGAGACAGAGAGAACAGGGAAGTGAGAGTAGATTGATGGAGAAAGTGGGGAGAAAGATGGACGGATGACCTTCATGCATCTTGAATTGTGCTGGAGCAGTATTTTAAAAATAACTATATTTATATGAAGTATATATATATATATCTTTCTCTTGCTGGGTGTTCTATCTCTATTTCATTTCTCTCTTTCAATCTTTCACACCCTTGTTCTTTCTTAATCTCTCTCTCGTTTCGTTTTACTTAGAAAAAGAAAATAATCTCTATCGCTGTGGGCCTTAATTACACTGGATCAGGGAGATAAGAGGGCACTTGGAGAGTGTGCTTTGTGTGTGTGTGTGTGTGTGTGTGTGTGTGTGTGTGATCAAGTCGAGACAGATGCTGTCTGCGTTATGCACACTGATATAGCTACAACATTACACCTGCTTTCTTTCCTCTTCAAAGCATTTCGTTTTCGCTTTTCACAAAAGAGTTTGCATTGGCCACAGTGTGATGGTGACGATCATAATGATGATGAGCAAAAGTCTCATATCATTTATAAAAATGCTATTATTAACTTTCTATTGTTCATTTAACCTAATAGCGTTCATAATAGCATGTAGGAGGCAGGCTCATTGTTTGGATTTGATCATTTTGTGGTTTTTTCTATAATTTTCCAACTGTTTGTCTAAATGTGGACTCGGGCACCGGTTTTATTTGCATTTAGCGCTCTAGTGGCATGGAGGGGCTGCAGTGAAGTGTGAAGATGCAATGTTGTGGTTTAGGTGTTGCCGCATAAATATTTAAAGCGAGTCTGGTCAACTGTACAGAGACGCTGCAAGAATTTTTTGGTTTGATTTTTTTCAGCCGGCACAGCTAGAGACGTCTCTGCTGACACACGGTGTAGAACTGAAGAAAGCAAAATTCACAATGAAATATTTCAGAACTTTCTTTTTCTCTCATATCTCAAACATGTTTAACAGACCAACCCAGAAGTCACTACTGCTATAGTGCCTCTAATAAAATTATCTCATAGATTTTAAGTTGAGTATCTGGAGGTATTAGGAATTTGTCTTGTATAATAAAAACTTTAATTCTTCTAGTTGCCAGTAAAATATGCTTCAGTGCCGCCTGAAAACCAATTTGTAGATGAAAACTGGCCTAGCTACATAATCCATCACAGTATCCCACAAAGTAACTTTCTAATTTGTCTTTATGACATTGTGCATCGTTGGAGATTAGAGTTTGTGTTTGTGCGTGACTTGGTGCATTATCTTATCCTCTGCTTAATATCAGTTGTCACAGGATGAATTGGAAATATCTGCCAGGAAACAGGCCTAACCCCCGATAAACATGTTACCTTAAAACTTGACGTTCATGCGTTTTTGATTTGAAGCATTTTTGGCATAGGGAAACACATATTGTTTTGAATTTAAAATGTATCAAAAACAAACTCAAAAGTACATGCAATACATGGCATTGTCACTATCACAGCTGCAGGAAATGTAAATTCCATGTGTGAGCAGGCTGAAACTTGAACTTAAAAAGAATTCTTTGTTTCCCTTTTCCTTCCTTCTAAGTATTTGATGTGTTTCACTCTACGGGCCATTATTGTGAGTCCCCTAAAGGGAAAGTCCTTGCACTGTGTACATCCTGTCTTTAATCTTTTCACAGAATCTAAATTCTCCTTATTTTTTCTTTGTCATCCATTTTTCTATCCGGTCCAGCTCTTAATGCTTCACTCAGACAAACAGCCACACAGCTTGTGGCAGTAACAAAGCCCAACCAGTAGGGTGCAGCAGACGGTGGCAGACAACTGGGGATATCGGTGGGGCTGATAGAGATCGTTCACAGAGACCATAACTGTTTTGTGTTGTGTGCTGTGAGTCCGTGGAGGGATAGGGCTGAATGAAGAGAGGCCATGGAGACACAGTGGAGCAGATAACAAGAACTGCGAAGGGGGAAAGGGGGAAAGGGGGGGGGTAGATAGAAGTCAGATAATAGAGAAGAGGAACACAGAATGAGTTAATGCTCAAAGGCTACAAAGGCAGGGTACAGTGTCAATCCAAAAATACGTCAAAAAACTTTACATTTGGCACTTTTCACTCTTCGGTTTCATCGTTTTTGGGAGACTGAGTGAGGGTGAGGAGAGGGAAATGAGGACACGCAGGGTGAAACGGAGAAGGCAGAGAAAGAAGGGCAGGGTGGAGGTGTAGCTGAATGCCATCCAGTCATCAGGGAGTCAGCCCTGCTTGTTCAGAGAGCTCAGCGTTTGAATAGAGAAAAGAATTCTGGCTGAAACAAGCCGATGCTCATTTACTCTCCCCAAGCTTGGAGCTAGTGCCAGATAGAGAAGGAGTTTGGTGAGGTTAAACCACAAATGCTATACCGTGTTTATTCTAGAGCAAGGACGTGAAAATCTACTTTATTGTAATGCCCAATGACCAATCACCAATGATGTCACAATTAAAAAAAAAAAAGAAAGCATGAATGCTGTTTGCCTCTGCAGGATTATTATATTTTTCCCGACATGGAAAATGAGATTTTAACAATCATTAGCATAAGCCTAACACACACCCCTACTTCTGTGTTGTGTTTAGAAATATGGGGGAGTTGTATTGACTTCCGCTGCATATTAGATGCATGCAGTTATATAACAGTACAATCATGGTGAGATGTCCAGATTTCTAAAGATAAGCTGGCAAGTTACTTAGCAACCACCACAGAGCAGGATAGGGGAGCAGGTATGATTGCCAATGAATACTGGCCAAACTCTTTTAATCATGACAACAAGGCATGCACTCCAACACTGTGGCTATTTTTGTTTGTGCCACTGGCTTTATTATTTTTTTTTTTTTTGCTATACTCAATTATTTTGTTCTTCTACCAACCTTGTATTATTTAATATGATATTAAATGTTACTAAATCAGAGGTAGAGAGCAGATAAACAACAAACTTGTACTTCATTATTAAATTTGTGTATGAAAATAATTGATTTTTTGAGAGTAATACATCTAAATGAGTTAGTTTGACATCTTCTGCTTTGAACAGAATCCCTCAGATCCACAGTACAGCCCATATACACGTCATTATTTGCTCTTTAAATGACAAAATATGACTAAAAAAGACCCGAGTTGTTGTCTTCATTCTCTAGTCATTATATTGATTTATTTTGCCTCGATATGGGTTTCTCTTAACGAATGCGTGACTATATAAACTTTTTTGTCTGCTTTTGTATTGTTTTTGTGTAGTCTCACCTCTTTTTGGCCAGGTTTTTCACTACTGACTTGCTGTACTTGGTTAAAAACTGATAAGTAAAATAGGAAATAAGTACCGACTCCGAATGAGCAGGAATGCACTGAAACGGATGCCAGGCCCCAACAGCTGACAGCTGTGGAGTTAAAGGGGAGGCTTTGAGGACTAAAGGCCGAGACTGTCGGTCTCAAATTTATTGTATGCAAAAAGCAATTTGTGATGTGAGAGGACACACACAAACACTGCGAGACGGGACTCAGGGAAGAACAGATCTATATCTATCCATATCTCTGACTTTCTCTCCACCCATGCTGTTAAATTAATGTTCACAGTAAATGGCTGCAGCTTATTTCACTTCACATGGTCAAAACTAGATATTAACTGGAGTTTTTTTTATTTAAAGCCAAATATTTTCTTTGATCTTTCGATTGGTATTAATCGTTAGTACCTGTCAACGCACTATGGATGTTCCTTTACGGTGAGAATTCATTTAAACTTTACACTCTCTGTCTATTTCACAGTTATGGGGACCATGTTCAGCATTTCAAGGTGCTGCAGGATCGCTGTGGTCAGTACTATGTGTGGGACGAGCTCTTCTCCTCTCTGAACGAGCTGGTGGACTTTTACCATAGCAACAGCATCGCTAAGGAGAGGACTGTCTTTCTGAGGGACCCCGAGCACTTCGCCAGGGTGAGCATGTGACTCCTTGTTTTCTGTGTCTCTTTCTTCATTTCTTTCTTTCTTTCACACATTTTAAACAGTTAATACCAAAGCAAAAGGAACAAATATCAAGAGACAATTTAATCAGTAATTAAACAGGATTAGTTTTACCATTAAAGTCCTTCCCGAGTGTAACTGACTGGTTCATTCATGTTGACAAAGGAAAGGTGGAGGTAATGTGTGTATTATTTTTTAAAAGAAGAAGCTATTAACTAATGATTAATCATTTAGAAAATATAACTTGAGATAATAGAATAAATAGAATAACAGAAAAATAATAATTTTACTCTCTTTCAAACAGACATCGCTGATTCATTTTCTCAATATCATCTTCACAAAATCCTCTTAGACTTTCTGTACCTCAAGTGTTGTTTCCTCTGACAATACTTTTAATTTGAGGAAATAGTTTTGAATTATTACTGTTTGAAATGTCGGAAATTCGTTTTTCTTACTCAGTGCAGCTCAGCATGAACGGCTGCACCACAGCAGTTACGTAGCACTATTTATTTTGCAATGTCAATTTCAATCTCCTCTCTAAACCATTTAAAACACATCTGTTCTGTTGTTCAGCCTCCCTCGTCTTCCCTCTTCTATTCAAGCCGCCAGAGATTTTATTAAATATCTGATGAGACTTTAAGACACAGTGAAGCAGCATTTTTTAACAAAAAAAAAGAGCATATTTTCTATTGTCGAATCAGTGTTTTTACAAACAAGCTACCCAGGTGTTCATATTTCATTTTGCTGTGACTTTGAGGCATAACCAGTTTTTTAATGGAGTTGACAGCTATGGGAACATTCCATATGTTGGTGAAATTTCTGGTGCTGTGACTGTGGCAGCAGGGTTTGACGTAGAGGTGCAGCTCGAAATGAAAGATCACAGGACTGCCGTCGGTTTGGAGCAGAACCAAATCAGTCATCTCAGGCGCCGAGCCACAGGGAGTGAGCACTGCTGAGCTAAAGAAAACTGATTTAAGAGGCAATTATTATCAGTCATGATTAAGTTGCTATGTATCAAGTTTGGACAGAACATTTCTTCAGTTTGTTGTGTTTAGTCCAAATTCCCTTTGGAGTTCAGACACCTAATGAGCCTCCTTGAGCTTTTTTACACCATTTCTAGGCTATTCCTGTTTTTTTAGAGATGAAAGATGATGAAGATGAAATAGGTGGTTTAATATGCATCACTTGTTCCAAGTTAGTTTGATAAGATTGTAGATATTAATATGTAGGTTAAACTATCCAAAACACACTGCCAGTAAGCAATAATGCTGTAGCGGGACGGCTAGGCGTATCCCAGATTTCAGTGTAACAATATGTTCTGTCAGGTTTAGTAGAAAATATATGTGACAGGTAGTTCCCACGATGGTGTCATCGTGGGAGAAGCTGTTGTTCTTGCTATTGTGAAGTCATTATGCAGGCAGGATTACATTGCATGTTAAGTATGTCTGGGAGTGGCAGGCGAGTCGCACCCGCAGGCGAACCATAGTCGCTATGGAGGGATGTGATCCACAGCGATCCTGACATGACAGCATGTTCACTGTACTTTGCTGTCGCTGTAAAACCTGCCGCGTGCTAATACCCATCGCATCATATTCACTTCTGGAGTCAGGCACCTGAGAATAGGCCGCCGTTCGTTTAGGGTGCTGAATTTGCCGCGGCCATGACTCAGAGCGTGCATGGGAAGTGATAAGAAAAAAGGCACCAATGACTTCTAATCCTGTCAGTTCATCGATGGCCACTTAAAAAAAATGTTTTTTACATTTGTCGTCCCTACAACATAAAAGTATAAATCAACATACTTCAATTCATTTTTTAAGTTTGCCCTATAATGAGGGCAAACCATATTCTATATGGTACTCGGCTCATTTATGCTTCCTGTGCTGAAGGATTAACAGGATGTGACAAGTTATATTTAGGTCACATTACTCATTAGAGATGCATCTCATCATTGGTGGCGAAAAGCCCATCGCTATATATATATAATATATATATATATATATATATATATATATATATATATATATCAGTAAACACGATTAATATAGAATGTCAAAATCTCCTCAGCTCTCCTCTAATTCTGTTTCATATTCATTTTAAATAATGGACATTTTATTAATGTGAGCAGGAATAAAGGTTTGTCCATTATCCATGTGGGAAAGGATGGAAAAAATAGTTGAAGTCTAGTCTAAAACCAGAGCTACATGTTTAAATGTTCCTATAATTTAAACAGTAGGTCAGATTTGAAGTGTGTGTCATTTTAAAGGGTACGGAAGCAGTTTATTACAACTCTAAAACAACTTCCAGGTTTCTACATCTGTTTTTCTGACACTTCTTTTTGTGCATGATGCAGACTGGGTCTGTTTGTAACCAGTTCTTTGACTCTGTGGTTCATTGTGCTGCAGAATCAAACCTTGCACTGCACTGCATGCAAGCAAAGAGGCTCTGGTCTCCAAGGTGCTGGCATGCAGCTAGCCTGCCACTGCTGGTTTGGGGTATTTTTGCGACGATCAGATAGGAAGTGAAGAGTTTAGTCATTGAGTCATTGCTGTAAATAAACTACAACAAACAGAGTGAGGAAATTACACACATGCATATACATCCTCTTGTGTCGAGACAGTATTTTTTTTTTTTTAACATTTTCAAGCAGGTGTTGGTATTCTGGCAAGGCTTCACATTGCCCCCCCACCCAAACCCCTCCAGTCAAAAGCTTGGAGTCGAATGACTGCAGTAATATTTGTCTATAAAAATGAAGTAGAAGCAAAACCTTAAAGAATGGGGTGATAGCACTAGTTTAAAATGCATTACTTGGAATACTCTCATGCATTTTAAAGTATATGTGAGATTACTGAATGAATGCACACACAAATATGTTTCTATTTCCAAACAGAATAATGTGACAAAATATCACTCACACAATCGGCATAAGCAGCATTTGATGAAAATCTTTAATGTGTTGAGTACCTAAGCCCGACTGGATCTTAAGTTCTTCTGAAGATGATTCACATTTATTGATCTTTGTGATGGGTGAGCTTTACTTTTACTAAATCTGGTCCTCAGATGCAGGGAGCTCCTCTCACCCCATTCGTCATATAGTCTGCATGATTTTGGCGTTAAACCAACTCTTCTTTCCCCTAAAACTTGATTTTATAGCTCAGAGACGGGGATGGTTTTTGAGACGGTCTGCTGAGCAGGCAGACTGCTGCAGTTTTTCACCTGGTGGCGCAGGAGACTTTCAGACTGGGGATGGCAGGTTTTGATCCTAAAAACAAGCTTTTGTTTTACTTGCTGCTTCTGACAAATTTAGCTCTTGTTTAGTAACATCCTGCCTCACACCTGAACAGTTTCACACATGTTCTAAATCACCGGGGATGTTGCACAGTATGTTCAGTCCTGCAAACGCAGCTGGAGCAGGTGCAAGTTAAGAATTTTGCTTTAGGGCATTACGATGCAGTTAAACTGAAAGGCAGGCGTCCCATGGGAGAGTGAAAAACTGTATGACCTAAATACTGTCACAGTCTAAACCTCTTTAATGTGAGCAACTAACACGTGAAAACAACACCAGGTCTTTTGAGCATTTTGCTTTTCTGAGAATTTACATTTTTTAGTCTTACAGTAGTTAGGCCTATATATAGTTTACGTAGCTACTCCACCTACAACCGGCTGGTGTCATGACCTCCACATAATAGCACAGTAACAATAATTGCTCTATTATTCTGTCGCCATGCAAATTACCTTCATCTACTGGTCTGCCTCGACTTCTGACAAAACTGAAGCAAAGACAGACATATCCAGTTTTCTTCTAATGTTTTATAGGCAATTATTGCTGTCATTAAACTGATTTAGGAGCGTAACTGAATGTTTATGCTTGTGAATGTCATTGTTATTTCATACTCCATTTAGTGTGGTGACTCACGTCAGTCAAGTCATGAATTGACAGGTAGACGCAGTCATTATTATCTATTCTGTTATTGTTATTATTATTATTATTATTTTGGGATAATATTTTTAAATGGCTACTGTTGGTCTTTAACAAAGGGGGAATGGTACTCCATTAGCTACCCTACCCACCCCTTCACAACTGTTCCTGAGATTTATTCAGTGATTCACAAGCCTGCATCTAAGGCTGTTATTGCTCTTGCTACAGTAATAAAACTCAAAGCGGAATATGCTGGAAAGTAGGTTTTAAATATACTTTAATGCTTTGCAATTTATTAACCAGTTGCAAAATGTTGTAAAATTAAAATAAAACATGCTTTGTCAGTAACGGTGTCCATTGTAGACAAAACCATGTTGGACTCCTATCAAGTTAAGACACAAATAATTGTGATTGAAGCCGGTGATTGTAGATGGAATTATACATATTTATTAGCACATTGTTTTTTTTTTCTTCCTTTCATGTTTTTCTCATTTTTTATTCCATCATCCTATGACGTGATAAGTCCAGGGTCAATACAATACCATATACTGAACAAAACTACTTCATACTATGTACTGTAAGGCCATCAGGGATATGCTTATTTACAGAAAGGTTCATTAGGTGGTATACGGTACTTACTCTATGTTATTCTGCCCCAGGTCTTAATTATGTTGGCATAGCTCGCCTTGCTGTTCTGTATTAATGTCATCATCTAATAAGGGTTGTGTGCCAGGTGGGTCTTGTCTATATGCATAGACTGTACAGTCCTAAAATGTATTGTTTAGACATTACTGGGTTACTGTAATCTAGAATTAGCCAATCACCAAGAAGCATCCATATATTTTAAGTTTACGTTTTATGTACTGCCATGCATAAATCTGTACAGTTAGCTTTATAGTTTTACAAGACTAAGTCAATATCCGTGACTGTTACGGAGAAAGCAGAAGTGCTGGAGAGATGGTTAGCTTTTTCAAAAGTATCAAAAGACATCAGATCAACCACCAACAGGCCTATTGCTTTGTTACAACATTTTCTTAAAGGTCCAGTGTGTGACATT